CAGCACTGACCCTCCAACAGTGCGGCGCTCCCTCAGCACTGACCCTCTGACAGTGCGGCGCTCCCTCAGCACTGACCCTCCGACAGTGCGGCGCTCCCTCGGCACTGACCCTCCGACAGTGTGGTCCTTCCCCAAAACTGATCCTCCGATAGTGCGGCACTCCCTCAGCACTGAGCTGTGACTCTCCCTCAACACTGACCCTCCATGCAGACCTCCTCCAGTACTGTGTTGGCCTATCAGCCTGGATTATGTGATGATGCCTTTGGAATGACATGTTGAATCTCTTCCCTCATAATTAAGGCTGTTACAGACCTAGTGTCATGTGAAGAACATTAAAGAGCTTGGAATGGAATTAAAATAGTGAGGATCAATGATTGGTTGCTTATAAGTAAGTACAGGTGGGGGGACAGGCGTTTTTAACATTAAAAAACAGACCCCTAGAAATTTTCTTCATGGAATATTTTGTGTTGTTATCACTTTTAAAAGGAAATTCAAGTCAAGAAGTATCCAGCTCTTGACAAATCTGACACCTTCGCTACGCTACTTGTGGTATCTGTCAGTGTAAGTGGAGGTACTCAATGTGGACTCAACATCTGGCAGACCATTGTTAATTTTACTCCTGTAAAGCACCTCAGGACATTTCTCCAGTGTAAAGGTGCTATATATATATGTATATTGTTATTGCATGTTTAGTTTTCATAGGGATGTCCCATGTATAATTCTGTGATATTCTTCAGGGATCTTCAATGCAGTGGTACAGTGGCAATGTCCCTGGATTAGTAATCCAGAGTGCCATGCTAATGCTCTCGGAACAAGGTTCGAATCCCACCATGTCACTATCATTATGATGCAGCCATTGCCGATTGTTGTAAAAACCTGTCTGACTCATTAATGTCCTTCAGGGAAGGAAATCTGTCATCCTTACTCAGTCTGGCCTACTTGTGGCTCCAGGAGCAGCAAGCTTCCTCAGTGGGTAGCACTGCTGCCTCACAGCATCGGGGACCTGGGTTCGATTCCACCCTCGGGTGACAGTCTGCGTGGAGTTTGCATGTTCTCCCTGTGTCTATGTGGCTTTCCTCTGGGTGCTAAATTGCCCATAGTGTGCAGGGATGTGCAGGGTAAGTGGGTTAGCCGTGGAAAATGCAGGTCTACAACGATAGGGTTGGTGGGTGGGTCAGGGAGGGATGTTCTTTGGAGGGTCGCTGTGGACTTGATGGGCTGAATGGCCTGATTCCACACTGTAGGGATTCTATGAAGATGAAGTTCTATGAAGGTGCCCTGCCCAGTGCAGTGCTGAGGGTGTGCTGCACTGTCGCTGGTGCAGCGTTTCAGATGGAATATTAAACTGAGATCCTGCCTAACATCTCAGGCAAACGTGTCTGATCCCACAGCTACCAACTCAGAGCATGTTTTCTGGCTAATATGTATCCCTCAACAAATATTGCTAAAAAGAAGAGAAATAATTTTGCCCTACTGTTGCTACTTTCTTTGGGATCTTCTTGTGAGCAAATCAGCTGTTGCATTTCCTACAATGCAACAGTAACTGTATTTCGGGTGGTACTTTATTGTCTGTGAGGATATCCTGAGATTGTGAAAGTCAATCTGTGCCTTTCTCAGTGGTGGATAGATTATAGATCGGATCCTTCAATCTGCCAGGAAAGTCAGTTGAAGCTGGAAATAATGACTGATGAAGGGATGGAGGAGGTGATGGGATGAGTGACAGCACGGGTATGGAACTCACCATTTGGGCAGGCTCGGGGGTGCTCTCTGCTAGGATCTCTCATCAGGTCAGCCTTCCCCTGGGACCTGATGGCTCCTCCCTGATGTCCTTGTTGGAGAGAATCTAGAGTGTCCCCCACTGAACCCACCACCTTAGCCAAGTTTGCTTGAGTTTCTGAAAGCAGCTGCAAGGAAGAGAATGGAGTCAATGGGAACACAGAGTAGTTGCCAGTCCGATCCCAAAAACTGTTACCCAGCCTCGAGCCCACACCCCATCCCCACACTCTCTGCCCATCCACAGTGCCCTGCACATGTTCCATCCACAATTACAAAACAATATCTCTGCTTTTTCGATAAACAGTCTTTTTTCTGTGCTGAATCAGACAGAAGTGACTTTATCCCAATTAGCTTATTTTAAATTTGCGAGTATTTACAGCTATTGTTGAAGGGTTTGAGAAAGCTCACGGTATTAAAATAAAGAAAATGAGTAGTGATTATTTTTAATATTATAATCAGCATTAGACACTCTGAACTGCACTGGGTGCAGCAGACTGAATCTCCAACATGTGTTTGTAACTCAAGTCCACGACTCATCGAGGTAGGGTGCTACTTAGTGAGCTATCTCTGATTTCAATAGGATCCGACAATCAGGAAGGATACGAAACAGCATCACCAGTTTCCCTAGCCCACAATGAACAAGACTCCTTCAAATCAATAGCTTGTTGATCATGTCAGTGACCAAGCCACTAGTGATGACTGTGAATCGGAAAGCCCCATCTGGTTCACTAATGTCCTTTAGGGAAGGAAACTGCCATCCTTACCTGGTCTGGCCTACATGTGACTCCAGACCCACAGCAATAGTTGACTCTTAACTGCCCTCTGGGTAGTTAGGGATGGGCAATAAATGCTGGCCTGGCCAGTGAGTGAATTTTTTAAAAAAGCCAGCATTCCTGTTGTATCGCTGTGGCTAGCCTGTCCACTTGCTCCATCATTTTAAGATAATTCTGCACCAAGGCACAGTCCTTGTTGCTGATATGACAACACCATTTGTCAACTGAAGGAAAAAATGGCGAAGCATCTTTCAGCACGGTGGTGGTGGGGGTGGGGGGGAGGGGGGCGACATTCAGCCCATCATATTTCTGCTAACTCAGACGAAGCTGTCAAACCAGCCCCCCTCCCCTGCTACTTCCCCTTTGCTGTGTAATTCTAATATCTCCTCACTTCCCCCATGGGAATTATTAATGAGTCTGCTTCCACCTTTCAGATGGAACCATTCACTGTGTAAAAATAAAATATCTCGCCCCCGCCGGAATAATCCAAAATCCTTGTCACTGATCATTGCTACCAGAAACAGTTTCTCTTTGTGTACTGTACCAAAGCTCTGGATAATTTTGAAAGGTTCTGCTGAATCTTTCCTTTATCCTTCTCCACCAACAACCCAGCTTCCATTATTTCAAGACAAAATTAGAAATTGCTGGAAGAGCTCAGCAGGTCTGGCAGCATCTGTGGAGAGAAATCAGAGTTAACGTTTCGGGTCGAGTGACCCTTCCTCAAAACCCTGATTTGTTTCTGATTTACAGCATCCGCAGTTCTTTCAGTTTTCTTTCTCCATTATTTCGATGCCGAACCAGATTCAGTGAAGGGATATTCCTTCCCGTGTGCCGGCACGCCAGTGGGAATGCAGGTAGCGATGTCAGTGCGTTTGTTAATGACTGTAACTGGCTGACCCAATATTGCTCCGTTTCACTCCCTTACCTCGATTAACCTGCCTTGCTCAGATTGAAGCAAACTGAGCTCTTTGCTCAAACTGCCCTGGCCTCGCCTCAGGGTCTCGCAATCCTGCCTGAGTTGCGCCGTGCGGGTCATGAGTCGGGACACTTGGTCTGCCACCGTGACCAGGAGGGCCCTGTCCTGCCCTTCCGAAGCTTTCAGCTCATCCTGGCAGCTGAGCAAGGCAGTGAGAAGGGACGAGCGTAGAGCTTCCAGCTGGGCTGGGTCCCCCTTGTAATCTGGGCAGTTAGGGTCGATGAAGATGTTGATCCTGGAGCTGTCGGCCTGGTCGATGGTGACCAGGGCCTGCATCTTGTCCTGGTTGGTGCTGATGAGAGGAGGGCGATCCACAGCGTGATGGTACTGGTTGAGGAAGAGGAGAGCTCCGGTCACAGCCACCGCGAGTAACACCACCAGGAAGAGCAGCACCAAGCACAACATATAGCCACAGCTCAGCTTCTGGAACAAGCAGAGAATTTCAGAAATTAGGATTCACACTCGCGTTCAACCAACAGCTTGTTTTTAGTTAGCGCTTTTGCAAATAAATGCCCCAAATCATTCCAGGACAGAATTGGACGCCAGGTTAATCATAGAATCATAGAGTCTCTACAGTGTGGAAGCACGCCATTCAGCCCCAACATGTCCATACCGCCCCCTCTGAAGAGCATCCCACCCAGACCCATTCCCCTCCCCCTGCATTTCCCATGTCTAACCCACCTAACCTAAACATGATGCACATATTTCTCAGAAAAATAATAAACTTGATTTGAAGCATGATCAAACATAAACTGACACCAGCAAGGATATTCCGTTCGTGTGACTTAAACACAAGAAAACATGCACTTCAGTACCAAAAGCATACAACAAGTTTAACCTTTTTTTAAGATTTATTCAAATTACTCCTTCAAGTGCTTATGTTGTGAAAGGCATTCCACGTCTACACAGTTACAGTCAGCACGCCACAAATTCTATTTCCTTCATATCATCTTCTCATAAGAGCCTTAACTTGTATTTTAAAACTTTTCCATTGCTAAACAATCTCAAATCAATTAACTCAGCACAGTTTGAGGATTTCAATTTGGAATATTCCACAAATAAATACAGTACTCAAACAGTCAGTAACTGAGTCAACTTGCCAGCTTTGAATGCTCAAAGCAATGCCATGAAACATGGACCAAAAACCACCCACTTCTCGTGCAGTAAACTTTGCTACTTCTTTTGAAGTGTGGGTGCAGCTGACTCTACCCAGATGAACGCAAGATGAAAAATTTGCACAAACTCTGTGGAGTCCATGGGTGGCCCAGTCGCTCAGTGGTTAGCACTGCTGCCTTACAGTGCCAGGGACACAGCGTAGAGCTGGAGGAACACAGCAGGGTAGGCAGCATCAGAGGGGCAGGAGAGTCCACCTTTTGGGTTGGGACCCTTCATCAGAACTCGGGAAGGGGTAAGGGAGCTGGGAACTAAATAGAGGGAGGAGGGGTGGGGCTGGGGAAAGGTGGGTGGGATGGTGATAGGTGAGTGCAGGTCAGGGGTGGTGGGGATTGGTCAGTGGGAAGGGTAGGGCAGATAGGTAGGGAAGAAGATGGACAGGGACAACACAGTGTGGAGCTGGAGGAACGCAGCAGGCCAGGCAGCGTCCAACTCCAGCGTCTGCAGTTCTTGCTATCTCCAGGTTTGATTCCAGCCTTTTTGCAGCAGTCCTTGCTGGGAACAGTAGTGTCAGGCCTGTGGAACGCAGTGTGGGTTGCAAAGGAATCGTATAGAGTAGTGGTGGATGAGTGGAATGCACCGCCGGCAGTGGTAGTGGAGTCAGATACTTTAGACACTTTTAAGCGACTCTTGGATAGGCACATGGAGGATAGTAAAATGTAGGGTATGCAGGGTAGGTTGATCTTAGTAGGATAATAGGTCGGCACAACACCGTGGGCCGAAGGGCCTGTGCTGTTCTATATTCAATGTTCTAATACAGATAGGGGCCATTTGGTCCATCGAGTCTGCACTGACCCTCTGAAGAACACCCCACTGTATCCACATAAACCCATCTGCTTAGCTTGCACATCCTTGAACAATATGGGGCAATTCAGCATGGCCACCTAACATGCACATCTTTGGTGGCTCAGTGGTTAGCATTGCTGCCTCACAGCAGCCAGGGACTTGGGTTTGATTCCAGCCTTGGGTGACTGCCTGTGTAGAGTTCCCCCTGTATCGATGGGCCAAACAGCCTGCTTTCATGCTGTAGTGATTCTATGATTCCTCTACATTTATATGTGGGAGCACAGACACAGGGAGAACGTGCAAACACAGACAGCTGGAACTGAACTTGGGTCCTTGGTATTGCGAGTCTGCGGTGCTAACCATCGAGCCACCATACTGCCCATGGGCTTGACACAGTTTGTGGAAGGATGAGGATTTAAGCTTTAATGTAATGAAGGTAAACATTTGCAACTCAAATAAAGAGCTTCAAATGGAGTGAAATTAAAGTCCACAGTGGGTGAATGACTGCTTTTGCCATACAGCACCACCTGTTCACTGATGGCACTTGGGAGTGTTTAATGCAAATTAAAATCTACACATTAATTAATGAGTCAAAATGCAAATATATTATAAACACTGAGGATTTTATGCTGCGGGTTTCGTTCAGTTTTGCATGTCAGCCTTGAACTGAATTTAATGAGACAGGATCCTTGTCAGGGTTCACACTCATTTCCAAAGTCCCAGTTCCTGGTTGTGAACATCAGCTCTTCAGAAACAAGTGATTTTTTTTTAAATCTCCCCCTCAAATAGCCACTCGTCGCAAAGGACTTGCATTTATATAGCACCTTCCTTAACGCCAGGAGGTCCCGAAGCATGTTCCAACCAACAGAGTAGTTTCTAAATGCTGGAATGTAGCAAAACAGCACAAAGCAAAGACCACAGAAACAGCAATGAACCCAATAGTCTGGTGGCCCAGTGGTTAGCATCAGGGACCTGGCTTTGAATCCCCCCCATTGGCGACTGTCTGTGTGGAGTTTGCACGTTCTCCCCGTGTCTACATGGATTTCCTTGGGTAATCTGGCTTCTTCTCACAGTCACAAAGATGTGCAGGTTAGGGTGGATTGGCCGTGCTAAATTGTCCTGTAGTATCCAGGGATTGTGCAGATTAGGGTGGATTGGCCGCGCTAAATTGCCCCACAGTGCCCAGGGATGTGCAGGTTAGGGTGGATTGGCCGCGCTAAATTGCCCCACAGTGCCCAGGGATGTGCAGGTTAGGGTGGATTGGCCGTGCTAAATTGTCCCACAGTGCCCAGGGATGTGCAGGTTAGGGTGGGTTGGCCGTGGGAAATTG